CATTTTGTTGTATATGTTTCTGCCTTGACGTCTGCCCATCTCCTTGTGCTTCGTTACTGGCCTTATCCGCACACTTGGTTCAGCCAGACCAGTATTCCAAAAGGGAAGTCCGGAGCAAGATGGGAGCTGGGGGCCGGCCTCTAAGTCTCAGGAAGAGGCTTGGGGCTCAGGCGGATGGGCGTGGGTGCAGGGCGTGGAGACTGCAGGGCCTGCCAGGGGTCTTGGAGAAGGGGATCCTTCCCGGTGGGGCTAGCAGGGAACCTGCCCGGTGGCCAGAACCTGGGGCCAAGTTGGGCAGGTCTTCCCTGGAGTGGCTGGTGCCCAGGGATGGGGTCTGGGGCAAGGAAGGGTACTCACCAGTTTTCCAAAAGGGAAGTCCGGAGCAAGATGGGAGCTGGGGGCCGGCCTCTGAGTCTCAGGAAGAGGCTTGGGGCTCAGGCGGATGGGCGTGGGGGCAGGGCGTGGAGACTGCATGGCCTGCCAGGGGTCTTGGAGAAGGGGATCCTTCCCGGTGGGGCTAGCAGGGAACCTGCCCGGTGGCCAGAACCTGGGGCCAAGTTGGGCAGGTCTTCCCTGGAGTGGCTGGTGCCCAGGGATGGGGTCTGGGGCAAGGAAGGGTACTCACCAGTTTTCCAAAAGGGAAGTCTGGAGCAAGATGGGAGCTGGGGGCCGGCCTCTAAGTCTCAGGAAGAGGCTTGGGGCTCAGGGGGATGGGAGTGGGGGCAGGGCGTGGAGACTGCAGGGCCTGCCAGGGGTCTTGAAGAAGGGGATCCTTCCAGGTGGGGCTAGCAGGGAACCTGCCCGGTGGCCAGAACCTGGGGCCAAGTTGGGCAGGTCTTCCCTGGAGTGGCTGGTGCCCAGGGATGGGGTCTGGGGCAAGGAAGCTTAAATCTGTTTTTATTATGGAATGTTTTGTTTACTCTGTCTATGACGATTGAGAGTTTTACTGGCTATAGTAGTCTAGGTTGGCATCCGTGGTCTCTTAGTGTCTGCATAAATTCTGTGCAGGACCTTCTGGCTTTCAGAGTCTCCATTGAGATATCAGGTATTTTTCTCATGGGTATGCCTTCATATATTACTCAGCCTTTTTCCTTTGCAGCTCTTAATATTTTTTTTTTATTTTCTATGTTTAGTGGCTTGACTGTTATGTGCTGAAGGGACCTTTTTGGATTCAGTCTATTTGGTGTTCTGTAAGCTTCTTGTATCTTTATAGGCATTTCCTCCTTTAGGTTGGGAAACTATTCTTCTATGATTTTGCTGAATATATATTCTGTGCCTTTGAGATGGTTCTCTTCTCCTTCTTCTATCCCTATTATTGTTAGGTTTGGTCTTTTCATGGTGTCCCAAATTTCCTGGATGTTTTGTATTATGACTTTTTTGGCTTGAGTGTATTCTTTGACAATTCTATTTTCTTTATCATATTTTCAGTCCAAGAGATTCTCTCTTCCATCTTTTTCATTCTGTTGGTTATGCTTTCATGTGTAGTTCCTGTTCATTTACTCAGATTTTCCATTTCCAGCATTCCCTTAGTTTGTGTCTTCTTTATGGCCTCTATTTCAGTTTTCAAATCTTGGATTGTTTCTTTCACTTGTTTCATTAATTTTTCTTGGCTTTAATTAAGGGATTTGTTGATTTCTTCCAATTTTTTGTTTGTCTTTTCTTCAGTTTCTTTAAGGAAATTTTTCATTTCCTCTTTAAAGGCTTCTATTATCTTCTTAAAGTCATTTTTAAGGTTGATTTCTTCTGCTTCTTCTGCATTGTGATGTTCAATTCTTGCTGATGTAGAATCACTAGGTTCTGATGATGCCATATTGGTCTTTATGTTGTTGACTATATTATTGTTTTGCATTGGGTGTGCTCTTTTCTTCCTCCACTTCGTGCAAGTGGTGTCTGTGTCTGAGGGAGCCTCTCTTGGTCTAATTGATACTTTTGGTCTAACAGAAACTCCTGCTCTATTCCTGAATCTTGGTCCAATTGGTGCTGATAAATTGTGTCTCACAGAGCAGCTCTTAGTCCAATGGCACTAGTAGGCTCTGTCTCATGGAACAGCTATTCCCATTTGGTGCAGGGTGGGCTTATGACTCTGGTGGTCACTTCTATCACAGGTGATGGTTTTCTTGGCAAGGGGGTGGGATAAGAAATAGCTGCCTACTTCCTGGGGCTCCAATGGCTTGGGCAAGGGGCAAGGAATGTTCCTCCAGGGACTAGTGTCTAGGGACCTAGTCTTCCCAGTTTAGAGATGGGACCTTACCTACAAAGTTGAATTTTTAGCACAAAGAGTGCTTTTAGTATGATATGAATTTCTAAATACTTCCTATAATATAAAGAACACTAGGTAAATTCTGAATGATCATGGAAAATTGAGAATTCCCACATGTCACAAATTCTAGTAATTAGCAGAGTAAAAATAAATGTGTATGATAGATGCATGCTGCATAAATGTTCAAATTTGTTCATAATACAGGCTTTAATGACTACACCTATCCTGCTAAACTATTTAGAAAACTCAGCATGAATATTTTGAAAACTGTTAACATTTTAGATGAAATGACTGTGGATTATTTCATCCCATTGTTCTCCTCAAACCTCTAATTATCACCATTATTTTTCATATGGAAGTAGGAGTTTCCATGAACTCAAATATAATTGTATTTCTAAGTGAGTCAGATGTAAGGACAGGTCTTTATCTTTTTTACTAAGAGACCTAGGGAGCATTCTGATGATGTGGAGCATTACCACTGTCTTAGTCTTACTGCTCAAAAAGAACCTATGTGACATTTTGACCTAAATCAAACCACAATGAGCAAAAGCTGTCTTTCAATAGGTATCATATTTTGAGGGTAAGTAACAGATGCTTTTCAAGCAGTGATGCTGTGGATATCGCTCTATATAAGTAAAAAGCTGATTGGCCAGTAGACAGGCAGGAAGTATAGGCAGGACAAGCAGAGAAGAAAATTCTGGAAACAGGAAAGTTGAATCAGAGACACTGCCAGCTGCCACCATGAGAAGATGTTAAGATACTGATAAGCGACGAGCCACATGGCAACTTATAGATTAATAGAAATGGGTTGACTTAAGATATAAGAACAGTTAGCAAGAAGCGTGCCATGGCCATACAGTTTGTAAGTAATATAAGTCTCTGTGTGTTTATTTGGTTGGGTCTGAGTGGCTGTGGGACTGGCAGGTGAAAGAGATTTGTCCTGACCTTGGGTCAGGCAGGAAAACTCTAGCTACAAATGGCACCCAAAGTGGGGCAAGAGTTTCCACCTAAAACTTGAGGGAAAAAAGATTCTAAAACAGAGCTAAAAACAACTTGTAGTTGTTTCTCTCAAGTTGATAGATTCCTGTTGTGCTTGCTTGACTGGCAGTATGGTGGGAATGGGGCGTCTACAAGTGCCACATTATGCTGCATGGTAGATTTAGTCTTTGCTAGTACAAAGAAAGGTTTCTGGGATACACAATGCTTTGATAAAAGCATAGACTCACTCTTTCTAAGAGTTGATGGTTCCCAGAGCTGGCGGTAAACTGTACCACCACCATGTTGGGAAGCTGGCGGGGTGGAGCCACAAGCCACAGCTGCCATTTCGGTCTTAGAATGCTGCAGTTTAAAGCACTAGTTACACAATAAGAGATATTCAGATGCAATAGTTTAAAATGTGTGTAAAATATACGTAGGCTTGAAAGAGACAAAAAAGTGATATATAAGTTATATAAAGAAATAGATAGTTTTAAAAAATAAAGTCTTTAAAGAGATAGTAAAGTTAGTATAAAAAAATAAGCCACATAAAGATGGATTTTACACAGAGAATCTGGATTTTGTTGTCTTTGGGATTCTTAACTGCAGAAAAACATTTTATCATAAAAGCTGTTGAGTTAAGCCAATATGTATATTCTAAAGGTACTTTGACTTCAAGATTTGGATGTAAGGATATGTTGCTTTGGAAAGGAGGCTCTGCTTTTGTTTCCACAGAAAGCCAGAGACTATGGAATTGTTCCAGATTAAGATATATCAGTTTTGACCAGTCAAGACACCCTAAAAGATCTCCAATGACACTATGGCCCAGATGATCCAACATCCAGAACAGTTTCAAGGCAACTGGCTCAGATGATACACCCTCACAGACTACTCCATAATCCTAAAATTTTCTTTGTGTCCCCATAAGATACAGTACCCCTCTCCAGCAGGAAGTAGTAAGGGAAGCTACTCCCAAATTCTCAAATATACCAAGCTGTCTTTGGAGATGGAATTGGCTCACTCCTTCTCTAAACCCAAGAATATTGCTAAAAGAAAAGGTTAAAATATCCTTGTGTCCTAAATCAGAAGAGCCCTTTGGTGTGGGACAGAGAAAAACCAATATTTTTATTTAAATCAGGTTGATTACATATGTGATCTCTTTCTAAAGAAGAAAAGGGGATATGATACAGATATGACCGAATGAAAGGGTAGATTAATGAACCTACTTTTAAAGAGCAACTTGTTTAAAATGTTTTACATTGCTATGGATTTTGGTTTACTGATACAAGTTTAAACTTAATTTTATACTATTTATATATTTCTATTCTCATTTAAGGTATTATGTTTGTAGAGCTCATTTAAAATTATAATGGATAATTAAGAAATAGATTAGTCTTCTATGATAGTCAAACTTGTAGCCATGCTAGTTAAGTTTTGTAAGTATATGTAGATATATTTCAGATAGATAAGTCATCTTCAAATACTTCAAAGACATCCAAAATATGGCATTTAAAATGTTTTAAAAAATTTAGACTTTCTGGACAATGAGACATGTCTGCTCCTGGCAGCACCGATTTACTTCAGAGAGGAGAATGGGCATCAAAGACACTCTATATGGAGTTTATCTTCACTTTGGCAAAAATAGCAATTTGAACAAGAAACTGTTCTTGCCTGGACTGCTTGACCGACTAGACATGCATGTCCCATAGGAAGGTGATCACTGAACTTTGCTTGGCAAAATGGTCCTTTGGGTTCCTGCTTCACAGACAAAAATGCCAGACATTCTACAGGACACAGAGAGAAGTAACTGAAAGACTCTAGGCCTGTGGGCTGAAGACAGATGCCACAACTGTACAAAAGAACTTTGGATGACTGTCCAGGCTGCCAGCTGTCTCTGTCTACTCTTGCAAGACTCACAAAAGTTGCTTGTGTCCTGCTCCCATTTCTCAGGTAATGTTATATCCTTCTGAGTTCTTTGATGTAGTTGAAGACTGGATAGTTATAATTTCCCTCAGTTATAATAAAAAATAAGTTAGATATGAACCTTAGACTCATAAATATAGGATAGATAGGATATCTTCTTTAATTTTGCCAAATACAAATAGACTAGATATTATAAATAGACCAGATATTGTAACTGTAACTCTTGCTTGATAATTATTTTGCTATATGTAATTTAACTATGTGAAAGTTAAAACCTTCCATTTTGAAAAAAAAAAGAAAAGGGGAAGTGCTGTGGATATCAGTCTGTATAAATAAAATACTGACTGGCCAGTAGCCAGGCAGGAAGTATAGGCAGGACAAGCAGAGAAGAGAATTCTGGGAACAGGAAGGCTGAATCAGAGAGATGCTGCCAGCCACCACCACAAGAAAATGTTAAGATACTGGTAAGCCACGAGCCACATGGCAACTTATAAATTAATAGAAACTGGTTGACTTAAGATATAAGTATAGCTAGCAAGAAGCCTGCCACGGCCATATAGTTTGTAAGTAATATAAGTCTCTGTGTGTTTACTTGGTTGGGTCTTAGTGGCTGTGGGACTGGCAGGTGAGAGAGATTTGTCCTGACCTTGGGCCAGGCAGGAAAAATCTAGCTACACAGTGACATAGTGTGAACTTATACTCAGACAATGTGATCTATATAATATTGGTGTGAACATGCTATTACTTTAAGCATCAGTTCAGAAATTACATGAATTAGGAAAATTTTAACAAGAATATGTGCATTTCTTTATTCCTCAGTAAAATTGGGCTTTGAAGTACCTATGGAATAAAAATTTGATTTCTTTCAAAGTACAATGATGTTGTTTATAAACAATGTTATTAACACACAAGATGTTTATACATGATGTTATTTATACACAACACTGTCTAAACTACAATGATGTTCTTCTCAGGGGAGAGTAGTGTGCCACACACCTGTAGAATGAATGCCACCATTTGGAAGTTATGGAAGGGTTTCAGGGTTGTTGACATCCTATGCTGAGTTTAATAATCTAGGAAATGAACTCACAAAATAAAGGAGACTCAAATAAAATCTGTATTTCTCTCAAGGTAGAAGTCTAGATTCCTTGTTAACTTTAGCTGAAATTTATTTAGGAACAGCTAAACCTCCATACATGTTCTTCCATTAGCTGTATTATCTACCACACAAGGATATTTTCTACAGTTGGCATTTAAGAAAATTTTAGTTCAATAATTTCTAAATAGAATTCACTTATCCTTTTTCATTTTAGTAAATGTTTTATCTGAAACACACAGGCACACAGTCATACACATACACACATGCACATACACATACACAAACATATACCCCCATACACAAGATCTGATGTTCTCAGTTCGGTAAGTAATTGGTTTAAAAGACAGTCTTTAAAAGAGAAAGGATCCCAAAATAAGAAGGTGATTATCATCACACAATTATAATCATATACTTAATCATTTGCAAAATCTTTTTTTTTGAGTATGCCTAAATCATTTTTAAACAGAAATTTTCTTATTTTAACCTCATCTCTATTTTTTCCTTTTCTTGCATACATGGTGTATGTTCGAAGGAATAGAGTTACATTTTGAGGTTGGATTTATGTATAAAACACAGATTATTATAAAGAATTCTGAATACTCTTTTGTGTGTGTGTATGTGTGTGTGTGTGTGTGTGTTTTACTTAGATTTTGATAACATCTGTGCTTGACATTGTGTCTTTTACTTTGTAATAAATATACTAATTAAAAATAAAGTTCTCTTTATACCATTGTTACTAATTTTGTGTGGTTTTGAATGTTGCATATATGGTAACTATAACAAGTTTTATAAGCATATAAAAGACTTAGCAACAAGTACAACATGCTAATTCTTGCCATTGAATGAAAGTTTTATGATTCACACTGGCAGAGTGAAAGGGTATCACTAACAGAAATCCTATAGAAATCCAACATATCCTTCAATAAAATTAAGACCATTTTAGAACCTTAAAATTTTCCCAATTAAAATAATTTTAATTTAATTAAAATTAAATTACTCAATAACATTTAAAATTCAATTTATCTAAAATTTAAATTAATTTTATTAAATTATTCTTAATATATTCAGTTCCTTAACATCTTTATCTTTTGAAAAACACTTAAGAGTGTTGTAAGCTTCCAAAACAAAATACATCTTGATTAAACTAAAAGTTACCTCTCCTTTATCTCTACTACTATTATAGATAGGATTTTAGTGTCATGGAGAGTTAGATGAAGACATAGCAATTGATTCATTTTGACACAGGGATATTAAAAGTTGGGCTTTTATAAGGTAAAATTATATAAATTATTTTAGTTTTCTTCATAAATTTTATCACTGATGCATAAATCACCTTGAAGATTATTTTGAAGTTTAAATAACATAAACTAAGGTCCATATTTTTTTTTCAGTTTTAATTTTATTTTAAAGGAATACGGGATCAGTTTCAAGCCTTTGCACACATTATGCAAGTGCAAGTAGGTAACACTAAGATACTTTCCCAGCCAAATAAAAGATTAATCTTGCATTAAAAATAACATGACAATAATGAAAAGGGAGTTGACTGGCTACTTCCATTGCATAATAGGCAAAACAAGGAATCAAAAAGCTTACCTATCTCCATTATTTTTTTTAATTTTATAATTTGATTTAATTTTACATATCAGCCACGGATTCCCCTGTCCTCCTTCCTCCTGACCCCCCCCCCCGCCCTCCCCCCCAGCCTACCCTCCATTCCCATCTCCTCCAGGGCAAGGACTCCCCTGGGGATTCAGATCAGCCTGGAAGATTCAGTCCAGGGAGGTCCAGTCCCCTCCTCCCAGGCTGAGCAAATTGTCCCTGCATAGGCCCCAGGTTCCAAACAGTCAGCTCATGCACTAAGGACAGGTCCTGGTCCCACTACCTGGGTACCTCCCAAACAGTTCAAGCTAATCAATTGTCTCACTTATCCAGAGGGCCTGATTCAGTCGGGGGCTCCTCAGCTATTTTTTCATAGTTCATGTGTTTCCATTTGTTTGGCTATTTGTCCCTGTGCTTTTTCCAATCTTGATACCAACAATTCCTGCTCATACAATCCCATCCCTCCTCTTTCTTGCTGACTGGATTCCTGGAGCTCCACTTGGGGACTGGCCATGGATCTCTGCATCCGCTTCCATCAGTCATCGGATGAGATTTCTAGCATGACAGTTAGGGCGTTTGGCCATCCTATCACCAGAGTAGGTCAGTTCGGGCTTTCTCTCGACCATTGCCAGTAGTCTATTGTAGAGGTATCTTTGTGGATTTCTGGGGAACTTTCTAGCACTTTGCTTTTTCCTATTCCCATGGGGTCTTCATTTATCATGGTCTCTTTTTCCTTGTTCTCTCTCTTTGTTCTTGATCCAGCTGGGATCTTCCACTCCCCTAAGCTCTCTTTCTCTCGACCCTTGCCCTTCATTACCCCTACTCATGTACAGTTTGCTCATGTAGATCTGATCCATTTCTCTGTCATTGGGCAATCTCTGTGTCTTTCTTAGGGTCCTCTTTTCTAGATAGCCTCCCTGGAGTTGTGAGTAGCAGTCAGTCTAGTCATCTTTGTTTTACATCTAGTATTCTCCTGTGAGTGAGTACATACCATGTTTGTCTTTCTGAGTCTGGGTTACCTCACTCAGGATGATTTTTTTCTACATCCATCCATTTGCCTGCAAACTTCATGATGTCATTGTTTTTCTCTGCTGAGTAGTATTCCATTGTGTATATGTACCACATTTTATTTATCCATTCTTCAGTTGAAGGGCATCTAGGTTGTTTCCATGTTATGGTTATTACAAACAATGTTGCTATGAACATTGTTGAGCATGTGCCCTTGTGGTATGATTGAGCATTCCTTGGGTATATGCCCAAGAGTGGTATAGCTAGGTCTTGGGGGAGACTGATTCCCAGTTTTCTAAGAAAGAACCATAATGATTTCCAAAGTGGCTGTACAAGCTTGCATTTCCATAAACAGTGGAGGAGAGTTCCCCTTGCTCCATATCCTCTCCAGCATAAGGTGTCTTCAGTGTTTTTTATCTTAGCCATTCTGATGGGTGTAAGGTGGTATCTCAGAGTCATTTTGATTTGCATTTCCCTGATAATTAGGGATGTCGAGCAATTCCTTAAATGTCTTTCAGCCATTTGAGCTTCCTCTGTTGAGAATTCTCTGTTTAGCTCTATAGCCCATTTCTTAATTGGACTGTTGGACATTTTGATGTCTAATTTCTTGAGTTCTTTATTTATTCTGGATGTCATCCCTCTGTCAGATGTGGGGTTAGTGAAGATCTTTTCCCATTTTGTAGGCTGTCACTTTGTCTTGTTGACCATATCCTTTGCTCTACAAAAGCTTCTCAGTTTCAGGAGGTCCCATTGATTGATTGTAGGTCCATATTTTTAAAAGAAAATTGTAACTCAAATTTCCTAAAGATCTTATAATAATTAACCTGATACCAGCTATTGGGATAAATGCTGAAAGATCAGAGAGACAAAGGAACAAGCCACTGCCATGTCTTACCTCTAGGAATCCTCAGTCTCAAAAGGTTTCAGTTCCTGTTTCCTCACACTTTGTATACCTTTCTCTGTCAGCAATGTCACTTCCTTCTTAGCGGTATAAATAAGGCATGTGTGCTTCCCAAGCAAAGGCATGAGATCTCAAGTGCTGGGATTAAAGGTTTGTGATTCCCAAGTATTGGGATTAGAGTTGTGTGCTACCACTGCCTGGCTCATTTTCTCTCCTAGACTGAGTCAGTCTCCTGTAGTCCAGGAAGGCTTTGAACTTCTAAAGATCCAGATGGATCTCTGTCTTCTGAGTGCTAGGATTAAAGACATGTGCCACTACTGCCTGGCATCTATGTTTAATCTAGTGTCTCTGATCTTTAGGCAGATTTTATTAGAGTATACAAATATCATCACAGAAAATATCACTAGAACCTAAACAAACTGAATAAGAATGTATATAAATGTCAACATGACACTAGTAAATTCCCTTAAAAACATTGGTTCACTTGTATTTCCAATAAGTATTTTCCAAAGTCAGAATACAAAAATGTATCACTGTTCATGATATCAATAACATCATAAATAATTAAGATATTATCATTCAGTCTTTGCCACAGGTGAGCTTCCAGATTTGACCAACATCACCTAGGCCATGGCTTACACAAATATTTACTTGCATTTTCTCTCTTCAAATATCTAGGTATCACTGCTGTTGTAATTAGAGTAGCTATTGCTGTGATCAAACACCATGACCAAGAACAATTTGTTGGGGAACGATTGATTTTATCTTGTAAATAATCTTGTACTTCATCATCCAGGACAGTCAGGATAGAAACTCAGGCCTGGAGCCTGGAAGTAGGAACAGATACAGAGGCCATGGAAGAGTACTGTTAAATGACTTGTTCTCTCAAACAGTTCATGCTAATCAACTGTTTGGGAGGCCCCCAGGCAGTGGAGCTGGACCTGTCCTTGGGACATAGGCTGGCTTTTGGGTACCTGAGGCCTATGCTGGGGCACTTTGCTTAGTCTTGGTGTAGGGAGGAGGGGACTGGACCTGCCTTGGCTGAGTCTACCAGGCTGGACTGACTTCCCAGGGAAGACCTTGTCTTGGAGGAGGTGGGAATGGTGGGTGAACTGGGGGGAGGACTGGGGGGTTGGAGAAGGGAGGACAGGGGAATTCATGGCTGATATGTGAAAATAAGTTAATTATAAAATTAAAAAAATGACTTGTTCTTCCTGGCTTTTCAAGTCTACACTACTAATCTAGGTGCCACATTGCCAAAGTGAGCTGGACCTTCCCACATTAATTTACAAGAAAATGCACCGTAGTTTTGCTCACAGACAAATCTGGTAGCGGCATTTACTCAACTGAAGTTCCCCTTTTTCCCAATGACTCTGACTTGTATCAAGACCATTTCTTCACTAAGCACAACTCTTTTCAAGATGAATTGAAGCAGAATGGAGCATTAAAAAATTAGAAAACAGCAAGAGTAAACAAACATATAGGTCACGGTCATTTATTGAATTTGACATGCTGAACAAAAATCATGTTTTCTTCAGCAGAATAAAGAGATTTAATAAAATAGAACTCAGGTATTCTGTCATTTCATAGGGCAGGTCAAAGGAAGATCTTGGAAAAACAATATGCATTTAACATCGCTGACATTAAGTTCATATGGTATTTAGGATTGGATTGTATGTTGTGTAAAGAAAAACAGTGAGAGAAAAGAATGTAGAAAGATTCTCAATGATATAAAATGACAATCTATAAAAAGACAAGCTTTCTTTACAAAAAAAGATCAAATTCAAGCTAACATTACTACCAAATAAATCATAGCAATGATTTTGTAGTTCCTTTCTTCTCTCAAAATAGTATGTGATGTATTCTATTTCAAGAGTTAGTTGGAGACCTGTGTGCCTGTACCTTAGTCCATTATTTATGTGGCAAAGGCTGGTGACAGAGCAGAATAATCCACTTTTCTTCAGTGTTTCTGTATCCAACATTGTTCAGGAAATTCTTACTTGAATACTGAAAGAGACTTATCCGATCAGCACCCTAAGACTTAACAAAGATTATAAATGACACTATTGGATTACCTTGGCAAACATGTGTTGTCCAGAAGAGAGTAAAGTAGAGTGGAAGGATAATAAACTTACAAAATATAATTTGGAATGGTAAAATTGTCTGTCTGATTTGTAGGTTCAGCTGTGACAGTCCAGCTGTTGACATCAGACACTCCCAAACCATTGTGTGTTGGGTAGCCCATATTTCTTCCCTAAAAATTGAATAGAATCTGGTTGTGGTAACTCAGAGAAGTCAGGAGGAAGTCCTCCCACTTCAAATTCAGCTATCATTCTTTCCAAAAGGTTCAACAGTGGGATGCCAATGTCTTCCACATAAACAGGTAAGCATTTTTATCTACAATTACAAATGGACAGCCATATCTAGTCAATGAGGATTTCTAAGCAGACACAATATTCATTTACCAGTTTCTGAACATTTCCCAAACCAGAAAAAATGGAGTCAGAAATAATGGCTCAGTGAAGAATATAAAGCATGAAGGAACTGAATAGTGATCATTACTGAGGGTGGTTGTGCTGGTGACCAGATCAGTGTGGGAAGCCTCAAAGCATACTCTGCATTGCTTAAAGAATGTTCTTACATGTATTCACTGGGATAATTTCCATACTTAAGGAATAAAATCTCCAGTGTAGTTACTTAAATATAAAAAGGTTTGAACTATCTCACACTCAGAATGTTAGGAATCATACCACTGCCATCAATGACCAACATTATTCTCCAAGACTTGCTGTTTTCTTGTCTATTGATTTAAATTAGCATTTTGAAACAGGGTCACATGTTTTCCAAAAGCAAAAGGTGTAGCTAAGGTTACTTTTGGACTCTAGAGTACTCAGATATCAGAAGTAGCCACCATTCCTAGGCAAACAAGAGCTTCCTCCTTGATGCAGAAGAATTATTTGATGCCCACACATATGGTTTCAGCTACACTTACAGATAATTGTCTGGTAATCTCAGATAAAGTCCTTTTCAAGTTTTAGTCTTTTATTATTTGGGTTCTTTGAACCCTCCTGCAGGCACACAAACATAGTAGAGTGGCATTTAGGCTACTGAAACCTCCCTCACCATTGAGTGATGAGGCTTCCTGTCATTTAAACTTGGGATCTATAAACCATTTTTGGTTGTAATTGTCAAGTTCCAAAGAAACCTGGGATAAGTCTCACTCAGGACCTGTGATTCCTCCCCAGCACTTCTTACCCTGTCACTTACCCTAAACCTCTCCAACCTAGGTTATAAGCTTTACATCCCTTTTTCCAGCTTCTAATCCTATGTAACTGCCATTTAGACTACATGATCTCTTGGTTCTGCTCTTGGCTCCACTCCTACAACTCTCTTTATCCATTTGCCTTCTCTCTTCTTTTCTCTCTCTCTTCTCTTCATCTCTCACTCTCACTCCTCCTTTCCTCTCAAGGCCCATTACAGTCTTCTGGCCAGATTCAGTCTGGACCCTTCCACATGCATCTGACTGTTCTCTCCCTCATATCTACAATGAAAACCTTCTCTTCAACCATGCCTAGGAACAATTATGTCCTCAGCTTCACTCATCTGGTGACAAAACCACCGGGTGGCATCTACAAGCTTCCTTCTAAGGGACTCAGCCTCTCAGAACCAAGATCCTTATTTGATTTTCTTAAAGTATGTCTGGATCATTTATTTCTTCTGGCTTCTACCACTCACACATTTGACTTTGGATTATCTATACTTATATATGATGTCCACCTCGTCAGTCAGACACTCCTTCCCTCCACCTCCTCAAACCATCTGTCCCTGCTTCTCCTTGCCTATTCAGTTGTGTCCTCTCTCAGGCTTCTGGACTCTCCTATGCCCTCCAGGGCCCCACCACCTGGGCAAATCTCTGCTAAGACACTTGCCTCTCTTCTCCTCCCTTTGATCTCAGCTTCTTCCTGTAGCTTCCTTGCCTTGCTCTAGGAGCTGCTGTCCCACAGCTTCTCTATTCTGTCATGACCTCTGTAGTATTTGAATCCTCCCTCTAGTGGGGTTCCTATTTGTGACCCTTGTCCCTCATGGCTACAATGTTCTTTGTCACTCAAATCCATCTAGGAGGTTATTGGAACCTCCCCTCTGATGGAGTTTGTTTTATGACCCTTTCTCTTTTATTCCTCACACTCAGAGATTTTATTAAAACCTCTATCTTATAGAAAATTGCTTGACCTCAGTATAGCTCAATCAATGCCCAAAAATTAGCATACTTAATTTTCAAATTCTCTCATATGGTAACAACCTCTGCCACTAAACCAAGAAACAAATTATCTCCAAGATCTTTTATCTCCAAGATTTCTCTGTGCTCTGTTCTCAAGAAATCTTTTAAGACTATCGAGTAAAATGCCTTTTATCTCAGTAATTGTAAATTCATTGGGTATGGTTAAAGAAATTGTAAAATCTATAACAAAAATTAGCTTAAAACTTGTAACAAAAGGATGAAAATTAGCTATGTATTTCAACTCTTATTTAGAAAAATAGATCTACTTACTGTTTATGTAATTTGAATTCAACTCTATTTAGAAAAATAGTTGTTTTTAAAATAGCAAACATGTGGTTTGCATCCATCTTGCCCAATGATCTCATCAGAATGGAGGCAACCGTGTGGCTGGCAACTATCTTTAGTAAGGTTAGAGAGTACATGCACTGTAACTTCACCGCCATCTTGAGTAAGATGATCACATGGTATAAACCAACTAAGGCAATATTCATAAAATTTCTTAGTCCTACTGAGCCTTAAGTTCATCACTGCATCTCCTTTTAGACTAAGGAGACAGCAGCAGGTCTCAAATATTTTGGATTTTTATATGATGAAAAATTTGATAACTTCCTAACTTTATAAATGTCTACTCAAATTAACAAAAGCTGACTTAAAGGTTTATATCTAACTACTTTTTTCTTTGCTAACTTCTAATGTCAGGCTTCTGGAGAACTTCCAGTTATCAAAACATATATTTGAATAAGACATATTTCATGAATAAGGTTTATATTTCTAAAGGCATACTCAGCTTAATAGTAACTGACTTTCAGATATCTGTCTCGCCTTTTTGTCTTTTCTAATTTTGTTAAGCTTTAGGTACTGGGATAAACTAAGTCACAGAAGAGAAGAACAAAAACAACAACAATGAAAAAGCCCCTGATTTTCCACAATGGAATCCTATGAAAGGATCAAAAAGTAAGATTTCCAGTCTTTATGTGAACTGTATTTATGGTCATATAAAGTTCTGTGTCTCTATTCATTACTTAAAATTTGATTTTAATGCTAAAGGATCTTCAACTAAATCTTCAACTCAAATTTTAAGGCTCAAATGAAACAAAGATTAAATTGTAAAATCATAATTTTGTAGAAGGTACTAACTCTCTGTAAATAATGACAAGCTTTATCTAGCCTCCTGATGTTTTAAAGGTTAAGCCTAAAGAAAGTAATTTTGTATCCAGAGGCTTTTCTTTGTTCCACCCCACCCCAAGACTGCTTGTAAATATTCACTCATATGCTTAATATTAATGATAAACTGTTTGGCCTATTGCTCAGGCATTACTAATTAGCTCTCACAACTTAAATTAACCCATTTTTATTAATCTATTTATTGCCACATGGTTGTGGCATTGCTAGACTGCTGGCATCTTGTTCCTTGGGCAGCTGGATGATGTCTGCCCTGCCTCCACCCTTCTTCTCCCTGTATCTCTGCTTGGATTTCATGCCTGGGTCTTATCCTGTCTTTTCATAGGCCAAAGCAGCTTTATTCATTAACCAATGGAAGCAACATATATTCACAGCATACAAAAAGACATCCCACATCATAACTTAAGTAAAATTTGTTTGGAATAAGGATCTTCAGAGATCTGCTGAATATGGTATTTAAAATATTGAATACAAAAGCTCCCTATGATAGACAGACATTCCAGCTATTTCTTTAAATAAATGTTTTTATTTTATAATTAATTTAATTTTACATATCAGCAACAGATTACCCTGTCCTCCCTCCTCCCAACCCCAGCTCTTCTCCCCCATTCCCACCTCCTCCAAGGCAAGGTCTCTCCTGGGGACTCAGCCTAGCCTGGTAGAATCAGTTGAGGCAGGTCCAGTCCCCTCCTCCCTGCACCAAGGCTGAGCAAAGTGTCTCAGCATAGGCCCTAGGTTCCAAAAAGCCAGCTCATGCACCAAGGATAGATAGAGATGGGGTATCTCGCTTATCCAGAGGGCCTGGTCCAGTTCCATGGGGGCTCCTCAGCTATTGGTTCACAGTTCATGTGTTTCCACTGGTTTGGCTATTTGTCCCTGTGCTTTTTCCAATCATGGTCTCAATATCTCTCGCTCATATAATCCCTCCTCTTTCTTGCTGGTTGGACTCCAGGAGCTCCACCTGGGGTTTGGCCATTTATCTCTGCATCCGCTTCCATCAGTCACTGGATGAGAATCCTATCATTACAGTTAGGGTGTTCAGCCATCTATCTAATCACCATACTACATCAGCTCAGGCACTCTCTTGACCACTGCCAGTAGTCTACAGTGGAGGGATCTTTGTGAATTTCTGGGGACCCCTCTAGCACTCTGCTTCTTCCTATTCCCATGGGGTCTTCATTTATCATGGTATCTCTTTCCTTGTTCTCCCACTCTGTTCCTGATCCAGCTGGGACCTCCCGCACCCCTAAGCTCTCTTTGCCCAGATCCTTGCCCTCCATTACCCCCCCCTCACCCCCAGTTTGCTCATGTAGATCTCATCCATTTCTCTGTCACTGGGTGATCTCTGTGTCTTTCTTAGGGGACACAGAGGTCCTCTAGGTTCCTCTTTAGTAGGTATCCTCCCTGGTATTGTGAGTTGTAGTTTGGTCATCCTTTGCCTTACATCTAGTATCCACTTATGAGTGAATACATACCATGTGTTCTCAACATCCTTAATCACCAAGGAAATGCAAATCAAAACATGTTACACCCGTCAGAATGTCTAAGATCAAAAACACTGAAGACTGCTTATGCTGGAGAGGATGTGGAGAAAGGGGAACATTCCTACACTTTTGGTGGGGATGCAAACTTGTACAGCCACTTTGGAAATCAATATGGCACTTTCTCAGAAATTTGGGAATCAACTTCCCTCAAGACCCAGCTATACCACTCTTGGGCATATACACAAGGAATTCTCAATCATACCATAAGGACACATGCTCAACTATGTGCATAGAAGCATTATTTGTAATAGTCCGAACCTAGAAACAACCTAGATGCCCTTCAGCTGAAGAATGGATAAATAAAATGTGGTACATATACACAATGGAGTACTACTCAGCAGAGCAAAACAATGACAACATGAGGTTTGCATGGCTGGAACTAGAACATATCATTCTGAGTGAGGTAACACAGACTCAGAAAGACATTCCAGCTATTAACAGTGACACTAAAGTTTCCAAGAAAGTTAATGGGCCACAGATGACTCTAACTGTATTGAAGTTACATTAACCACTGGGAAAAAAACTGCCCTGTGTCTTGCCCACTGCCAGGTCCCCAGAAAAAAAAATGGGTACTTCTGTGTTGACTGCCCTAATCTGCCTGACCAAGAAGAGTCAATTTCCCAAGTTATCCTCCACAGGAAAAATATCTAAGAACTTCTGGATTGGGTTAGCCAAAGACCTATGCTGTCCTGTATAGCAGCTAAATATATAATGTGTGACATCAAAGACATACCACCACTATCCCCGATAAAGTCATTAAGACCATTGGATCCTAGAGTATTTGTCCAGTTTACAATAAGTCTTTGTCATTTTAGTTCATACCAAGGCCATTGGAATTATACTTCCTGCTATAATTTATCCTTCCCATTTCTCTGACAATATTTTCTACTAACTGTAGCTTTATGATAAGAGCAGCAAAAAAAAAATTCCTCCAGCAAGGCTCTAGCTGCCAAGTTAACTCATTTCATATGTAAAATCAGGAATCACAGTTTATCTTCCTGGTAGACTCTGAAAGAGATAAACTCACAAAAGAGTTTGCAGTATAACTTTTTACAACTCCTTTATTTGAAGGTACTTGCTTTACAATGAAGGTTTTCAGTAATAAATCACTTGTTCTTCATGGTAAATGATTGGAAAGAAAACGATTGAAGTTTATGAAACTTCGGACTGTCTAAGAAAGTACTTTAAGGTATATAAATACAAGTTGTAAAGGAAGTGATTTAAGGTTTGTGAAAAATGAAAAATGTTTCAAATTTTCCCCTCTCTACACTATTGTTAGATTAATACTTCAAAATTCAGAGTTTTAATATTAATCAGCAAAGTTATCCTAAGTTATAAATATAAGCTAATCCTAATAATGTACTGACTCCTATTATAGTCCACAAGCTCAACATTTTGAATTTCCTATATTGTCTTCTAAGTATAGACTTAAATGCTTCTCATTGTCCTAAAGACATCTCTGTCCAGTCTATATATCCAGTCCTCTATGGACTCATGCTCAGAGGAAAAGAGCATTAATGCTTTTAACCCATAATTATTTTTTGTGTCTTCAAGCTTTTATTATGACCAAAGGTTTGAGTATACTGCTTTTTCTTCAAAGTGAATTTCAGTACAAATTAAAGACAATGGTAATGTCAAAATATGTAAAGCCTTTATTTCTTTTGTGAACTTTACAAAAATTCTGTAACCTTCAGGGTGTTATGAGACTTAGATACACCTGGAATATGTCAAAATGATTCAAGGTACTTACTCCTCTCAACCAACAGTATAAACCTAATCCAATACTGCCTGTCTCTGATGGTGGGCTCCTGCTTTCCCTGATCTTGAACCTCCTTCCCTCCTCCACTTACCAGAACCATGGGTCTAAATATTTCATGTGTACACACAAGAAAACTTATACTCCAAGCAACTTAACTATATATCTTCTCTCCCTAGTCTTCATCTTTTCTAGCTGATTTCCAATCAATTGAAGACCGCAAACTGCCCCAAATGTGCCTGCCCTCAGTGCTTCTGATGGGATTTCTGACCAGCCTAAAGCTCTGTATCTCAGTCTGCAACAAAGCAGCTAGCCCAAGATGGTCCTTCAGAACCTGGGAAGTGAACAAAACATGTGTCCCCGAGCCTGCACTTCTCTCTTATTTTGACCAATATTTTAACCTTCTTGGCCCCAGTTAGAGTAGGAAATAGTTACAAAATATATTATGTCACCTTTAATTATAAAAAGACTGGAATATCAGGTCCCAAGAAACATAAAAACATATTTAATAGTTATTCGAACCAATTTTCCTTGAAGTTTTTGTTTACATTACTCAAAAATGAAGTCTGAAGAGTATAAGTTTGGCTACTATGCAGAGTTCCTTAACATCTAAAAATAACAGGGCTTTTATCTGAAATTTCAGATAAATAATATCAAGCTTTTAAGAGAAGCATTTGTCTCAAATAAATTTTTTTTTTTTTTTTGGGTTTTTTCGAGACAGGGTTTCTCTGTGTAGCTTTGCGCCTTTCCTGGAACTCACTTGGTAGCCCAGGCTGGCCTCGAACTCACAGAGATCCACCGGCCTCTGCCTCCCGAGTGCTGGGATTAAAGGCGTGCGCCACCACCGCCCGGCGTCAAATAAATATTTTTGTTTATATAGAATTCAAATAAAACTGGTCATTTAAACTATCTATCTATCTATCTATCTATCTATCTATCTATCTATCTATCTATCTGTCACCTTCATCATTTATCATCCATTTGTGTAACATATTGGGTCCAGTTAGTATTGCTCTTATTTACATGTGTTCAGTACTGACCACTGAGGTTTGGGATCTCATCCTTGACAAATAAAAGTAATCAAATCAATAAGCAAAAACTCACTCTTTCAGTAGCCAATGACTGTCTGTAACTCTTCATCTAGGAGTGAAACCTTGGTTAAATTTTTATTTATCCATGTTGCCATGTCCAGCTGGTATAGTGTTTGCAGGTCTAAACAGTCAGTAATGTTGCTGAGAGTTCAAAGGACCAGTATCCTGTCCTTCCCAGGAGATATTACATCACAGAATTTATTCTTAAGCCTACTACAACTTTCCTAGCTCCTTTTCCATAATTGTCCCAATCCGTAGATATAAGGGCTAGTCCTGGCTATCCTATTTGGGGCTGGACAACTAACAGTCTACATTTCCTTCATTTTGTCCAACTATTGACCCAATATCTTAGTCTGCTATAAAAAGAAGATCTGGTGAGAT